CATCTCACGGCAACGCGACATGGCGTCTCACGGAAACATGACATGGCGTCTCACGGCAACATGATATGGCGTCTCACGGAAACATGACATGGCGTCTCACGGCAACACGACATGGCGTCTCAAGGAAACGCGACATGGCGTCTCACGGCAACACGACATGGCGTCTCACGGAAACACGACATGGCGTCTCACGGCAACACGACATGGCGTCTCACGGCAACACGACATGGCGTCTCACGGAAACACGACATGGCGTCTCACGGTAACACGACATGGCGTCTCAAGGAAACGCAACATGGCGTCTCACGGCAACACGACATGGCGTCTCACGGAAACACGACATGGCGTCTCACGGCAACACGACATGGCGTCTCACGGCAACACGACATGGCGTCTCACGGAAACACGACATGGCGTCTCACCGCAACACGACATGGCGTCTCACGGCAACACGACATGGCGTCTCACGGCAACATGACAAGGCGTCTCAAGGAAACGCGACATGGCGTCTCACGGCAACACGACATGGTGCTACGTTATATAACAAGGACAAAGAAATTCTGTCACACAAGAGAAACATGCTGGATGTCAGCGACAGCGAAACTGGACCAACAAGAACAGACTTCTGTCAGAGAAAGTGGAACTCCATCGACAAAAACCCTGGCTCATTTCTTCAAGGAAACAGAAGCACGTCCACAAAATAACCGTGAGTGGGTGCAGGAAAAAAGTCAGATGGACAGACAGAGTGAAAGAACAGAAGGAAGGAAAAGAAGAACGGACCAATCAGTGGCGTCCTCCAACCCCATAACTATGTCAAAAGTGGAGGTGAAGTTCTGTCCACAAAAGCAGACTTCCGTTGTCGATAGAGGAATTTGGTCAACAGAGCCAGATTAAAGTGAGTGATCTGAACCTTTTGTCACGTCACTACAGCCAGGTAAGGAGAGATGGGCTCACTCCACAGTCTCATTGCGGTTCTTTCATAGCTTTAAAAAAAATCCAAGGGCTGTGACGTTATCGGAGGACCTGGCATGCCTCCATCAGCCCATCAGCGTTGCTAACTGGCTGGCACATCAGGTAACATATCGTCCGCTAGCTCTTCTTTTTTTTTTTTAGTAGAGAGTTCTACGGTGCTTGCAACTGCATAAGGTCATATGAGCGCCAGGGGATGGGTGTCAACAGAGAAGTCTTTACAGGGAATCAGACTTACTCTGCTCACCTCTCTAGCTTCAACAGCACAAAGTCTGCTTCGACTATCAAGGCACCCCGGAAATAGCGGGTCACAAGAGAGTGACAAACATACAAAAGAAGTAGAGGAAAAATGACAATAGTAAGGATGAGGAAAGAAAAAGCAGCAGTTCCCTGTTGTAGATCAGGCAGTTATGAGCGTGAAATGAGTCAGCCCATTTATAATTCTACTATGCTTGAACGAGAAATGTCCCCCCTTTGGGAATGGCCTAAAGACACTACAGTCAGTGGCACTGCCCCCGGGGGGTGACGTACGTACTTAAGAAATATTTAGTCGAAATTCTATTTCTAAAGTAAAAAGAAGACCAAAACTCCCCATAAAGTGAGTAGATCTACAATAGTTCAAAGAATGAAACCATTTGTTTCTCTCTCCTGTAAAATGTATCTATCTGGCCTGAGCACATGTCTACAGCTTGTTGATGATTTATGAAGCAGTGAACACATGGGTACTAATGGTACAGTACATTCAGTTGCTGTAGTAAGAGTTTTACGGCACTTGCAATAGAAATAAGACACATAAGGGCCAAAGATTAGAGACGTTACAAGAGAATATTATACTAAAAAGAAAAGAACGAAATGAGAGTTAAGGATGATATAATGTGTTTGGTAGAAAATAAGGAGAAATCCACGCCACAGCACCCACCAACCACCCACCTCAATTGTTATCCTGTAAGTAGTCTTCGCAATGGTGTAGAATATATCCAACAAGTGATGAGTAAATCCAACAAGTGATATCCAACAAGTGATGAGTAAATCCAACAAGTGATATCCAACAAGTGATGAGTAAATCCAACAAGTACAGAGAATAAAACAGAACAATGAGAACTGTGCAGTCAATCCCACGGACAACAGAACACCTCATCAGGTAGGACAAGATCACTGACGTGGTTAGCCACACTGACAACTGTGTAGTCAATCACATGGACAACAGAACACCTCATCAGGTAGGACAAGAACACTGACGTGGTTAGCCACACTGACAACTGTGTAGTCCATGAGACAGAAAAGTAAGGGAAAATTGTGCAAACTTTAAGTGCTTGAGGTCGTAATCAGAATTAGTTCGGGTGGATTTCTTCCCTTGATGAAAAATTCTGATCAGGGGCACTACACAAAAAACACGATAGTTAGATCAAATATGTCACAGAATAAGTGCATCATACAGTAAAATGTCAGGAAATTAATTAATATTTATAAAAACGTGTATTTTGGTAAGATATTCACATATAATATATATCATTGTTGTGCGATAATAAAAAAGCCCGGAATCTTTTTTTCATAAAAAATAAAATATATTCCATCTCTCCTAAATATAAAAGTTTTCCAGATATCACAAATTCCATCTGGTGGCAGTATCTACAGCCATTAAAAAAAAGAAATATAGCCACTGCCAGTTTGAGGGGGAAAGATTTTAAAAAACTAAATAACAGTATTTATCTATCTGAGCAATACAAGGCCTTCTATTGTTTCGTTTTCGTTCCACCCCTGCAGAAAGGAGCCCCACGCTGCGCCACTGACATCACCGACGCCACAGAATGTGAATAGAACATACAGTGGAGCCCGCCTGAAGTGAACACGCTTTGTTTGAACAATCGGTTCAAGTGAACGATATTCCTTTACTTTTAGAAAGAACTTGCAACAGAATAAGGTCGTATAAGTGCCGAAGATTAGTTTAGTTTTAGTAGGGGTTTTACGGCACTCACAACTGCATAAGGTCATTTGAGCACCAGAAGATTAAAGGTCTTACAAGAGAGTAACAACAAACACAAAAAAGAAGGAGGGGAGATAGAAACGATAGATTTTTTGTAGGAAACGAGGAGCAAACCACACCAGAGCACCCGCCAACCACCCACAAACAATATTCTGTGGTCCCGATTGAAACGCTTTTTGTTTCAGTAAAGAAATAGTGGATAAAATGAACCAGTTTCACGGGGAAATTGGATAAAGTGAACGCCCAAAATGAGTGAAAGCGAAGAATGGACCGACCGTGTCACTGTCGCCATGCTGTGAAAATACAATTCTTTTCCTCGGGCATCCGCAGACAATCCTAGCTAGGCGTTGGCGACGGCAATCTCAGTCAGAGAGAAAGAGCTCTAGTCTAGGCTCACCCA